CCTCATGTTCTTGATTATGGCAATATCCAACACTTCAGGAGCTCCCGATCCTGTCGGTATCCTAGTCGGGATCTCTGGGCCCAGGATTACTCCACCTTGGGCATCTACTGCTCTGCTAACAGTCGGCCTTTACTGCAGGTTCGGGTGCTATTCCACTCCGTGTTTTTGCAGTTTAGGTCGCCTATTAACAGCCTTGCTTTGTTGTTCCTTAACATTGTCTGGATGTCCAGCAGGTTCAGGGCTTCACGAGGGGTTCTGTAAACAGAAGTAACAATTACTGGCCCTTTGGAGGTGTTGATTTGCACGCTGATGGCGTGTATGTCTGTGTCCTCTACGCCTATGCTGTGGTGGTCGATGTCTTTCCTGATTAGCAGGGCCACTCCTCCACGTTGGGTGCTGTCGTCGTGCCTGTAAACTTCATAATCTTGTATGTTAATCCTAATATTACTTGCTACCTTGGTTGGGATGATGTTGCAACTAATTAAATTATTAAAAAGTTTATTATAAAATAAATATTAATTTCTTTAAAGAACGAAACTCATTTTACAGAGTTTTCAGGTTTCAGTGCATTTGTAAATCGGCAAGTTCTGGTGTGGTTAACTATAAAATGATTCGTTTGACTATATTCAAATTCAATTATTTTAAGTTGTGATTTAACTCTGACTTGTTATGGCTACACATTTCTAACTACCGGGCCGTTTTATTATTAGTATTAAAGAAGAGATCATTTGTCCAATTTTAAATAGTTGGGGGTGCTGGTTTTCACCATCAGTCTTCTCTTCTCTATGGTTTTCACTTTTTTATAGGTTATGCGAATCTGAGGTTTTATTTTGGTTATATGTCGTTTACCAAATATTATAATCTAATTTGTTAGTTTAAAAGCATTTTCATTGTAAAGCAACTGTTACTTCCCGTAAGAAAACATGTCGACTTCAAGTGAAAATGTGCTACTTCAAGTTCCAAGCGTTCGATTCAAGAAAGGCGATGGATCCTTGTTTCTCATGGACGAGAGGCTGATTTGGATGGTAGAAAGTAGGGACACAGTTGTTGTTTCTCACCCTTATGCAGACATGAAATGTAAATAAATGTTTTACATATATTTGCTACAAAGCTTGCTGACATTCTCGCCTGTAACAGTATTCACATGTAAACTTTTACTAACGATTTTAACGCAATTTTATACTGCCTCCTTTGAGCTATTATAGTTTAAAATAGCTCAAAAAAGAATGTAGCAAATTTATTTGAATTTGTATTATGTCTTTTGATTTGCAGCCCAAAAAATATCCCCAGAAGGTAAAGCCAAAGTCCAACTCCAAGTGGTGATGCATAATGGGGTTTCATCCACTTTTCATTTTATAAACAAAAGTGGACTGCAGGCACAACTTGCAGACAGGGATAAAGTAAAAGACATGCTACAGACTTTATTGCCTAAGTTTAAACGAAAAGTTGATAAGGAATTGGAAGAAAAAAATAGATTATTATCTACTAATCCAACGTTGCTGCAGTTGTACAAAGATTTAGTGATGACCGAGGTTGTTAGCTCTGAGGAATTTTGGGTCCAGCATGCACAACAGTATTCTCAAAAGATTAAACAGCTTCCACAAGAAATTGGTACGAACAAAAGTACACCTGCATGTTTTCTTGCTACATACGGAAATTTATATTTAGCACCTTAATTGTTCGGGATGCAAGTAATATAACCCGGGTTGCTTTTTTCAGGAGTTTCTGGGGCATTTTTAGCAGATATCAAGCCACAAACTGATGGATGTAATGGTCTAAAGTACAACATCACTCCAGACATTATTGAGTGTATTTTTAAAACATATCCTGCAGTTAAAAAGAAGTATATTGAAAACGTTCCAAACAAATTAACCGAGGCTCAGTTTTGGACCAAATTCTTCCAGTCTCATTATTTTCATCGGTACTACTTTCAATATTTACTCGATTAAATGACTATTGGGTATTAAGTATCTATATTTCTCTATCACATAATACAATTGTTCTATGTTTTTACAGAGATCGTAAATATGCAGAAAACAAAGATTTGTTTACTGAGTGTGGTAAAATAGATGATCAAGAGATGAGAAAAGACATTCAAGCTGGTGTAAACGACCCCTTGGTAAATCTAACTGAGTTTGAAGATAATACTTTAGAGGAAGGATATGGGGGAGTTCCAGACAAGCCAATAAGCAATATAGGCACTGTTAGCCAAGCAATGATTAAAAGATTTAATCAACACTCGATTATGGTAACTTATTTTTCGGAAAAATCCCTTGTACTGTTGTAATTAATTGTTTATATTTATTTGCAGGTGTTAAAGGCGAGTAAAAATAAGGCTAATGAAGTTGCAAGCGATGGTGCTCAGGTAAAGGCAGATTCCTCTGCAGAAAAATCGTTGGATGAGCCAGTTAGTAAGAAGCAAAAAATATTAGATAAAATTAGTTACGATGATTTGGAAGATAATGAGAAAGCTACAAATGGAAATATTCACCTAAGTTTATCCAAGGTTTGCTACAAATAATTTTATATAGGGTGTTTGGTCAAGCGTTGCACTGCTTGTTTTACGTTAGTACATGTAAATGTTCTTATATCACTTTAAATTTCATATAGGTTGAAAGATATCTCCACGGTCCTATGCCTGATACAATAACCGAACATATCAATCCGAATGAGGCGTCTCATATCATGCGAAATGTGCTTCAAGAAGCGCGTCAATGGCAGGCTAGGCCGCATATGCCCAATTATGGCATTGTGCCTCCGTCTGCTGCTATTCAAGCTTTGGGTGATCTTTCACCGGGAGGTGCTCTTATGCGGGGCTTTCAAGAGCAATCTTTAGCACGTAAGTGGATAAAATCGAACTCAATTTCTTAAATTAGTATTTTGTGACAATAAATATGGAAAGATAATTTCCATTCCGAAGATAATTCTTCTAATTGAGAAATATATATGCTATTGTATGCTCATTTTCAGAATTGGTACCTCCTAATATTGAAAAAGAAGTTAGAAATCTTTACCTGGCGCTCTGTGAACTGTTGGGACATTTCTGGAAATGTTTTCCACCCACATCGGCAGCCGCTGAGCAAAAACTCATGAAAATGAACGAAGCTTTGCAACGATTCCAGTCCGTAAAGCTAAAGCCTTTTGAAGTAAGTCGTACCTCAGACTAATTATATTGCATCAATTTTAATTAAAACTGTTTGATTTCAGGATAAGTTAATACGGGAACTCACGCCTTTGTCACAGCACCTTACCACACATTTAAATCAGCTTTTAAATGCAGCATATCAAAAGTATAGTAATTGGCAAAAAATCAAATCGAGATGAGTGCTAAATCTTCTTATCGAAAGTTTCTGTTCAGTAGGATTCTGTTGTAGGTTCATTTGAAATGTATTTTATTTGTAATAAATATAATTTGCTGAATTTTTGAAAGTTACTTATAATTACGTATAATATTGCACATGTTATTTACTTGTTCTATGCCTTTCAATTACATCACGATTTGTTGTTTTCCCATGTCTTGATTTAAAAAAAGGATTTTGTAAATATTAAAGTCAACACTTGAAAATTTCCTCAGCAATCACCTTTTTTCTAATAATTCTGACATTTGTTTAATTACCGTTTTGGTAAGTGTTTTCTATGTCAAACTTGTTCCACCTTTTCTTAAAACAGGCTGTTTTTCAAAGAGAAACTCCTGTAAAGGAGTTTTTTAAAGTTCTCGGACGGTGAAGGTGTTTGTTGCCCGAACCTTTTTGTAGTTGAGCTTTAAACTATAATATCAACAGACAAATTGGAACGGCTAACCGCGGTTAGAAATAGGTGAAAATCTAAAAACAACTCTAGAATTTCTCTTTGCCGAAAACAGTTTTATCAACATGTTTCGATAATAAATCGATAATTTCAGACACTGTTTTTTTAAATTTTAAACATTTAATTTAAATCAAGGCGCGAAAATTTTTTACCTCTTATTTTACTCTTCACATGTTTTGAACACACAATGAAGTAAAGAGTTTTTATGCAAAAATTACATCTATTTGCTAAACGATTAGAGTTGATCTATAATAGAAGTTAAATGAATGTACCCATAAAACAAGGTTTTCGCAAAAAACCATGTACTGTTTTGTTAGTTCTGATGCAAAAGATAATCTGATTAATCCATCAAATATTAAGTAAAATTTTGTTTTTAACTAACTTGTGTCTTGCATCGCTTCCTGGACAAAATAACGACAATTAATTGGCAAAATAACGAACTTTGGTAAGCAAAACAATGTATAATTCGATTCACCATTTAGTTAAGAAAACAGAAACAAAGCATAAAAATTAAATACTTGTTCCAACTTATGCTTATATAAGCTAATGTTCACATTTTGCCACGTCCACAGTCAGATGTGGTAGGTGCAAATCACGAAATGAAGATCTCTTTCTCTGCTAGCAAATCTTTAAATATTTTTTGTATTATCTTGTTATAACTGGTTTATCTGTAGGTAGACAGATAAACTAGCGATTTATTGATTTTCGACGCAAAAAACTGGTAGATTTTATTTTGAATCTAATAATATTTTGGGTTGACACTTAAAGATGGCCATATCAATTCAATAATTCAATATTTATTAAATTGTAAACCATAATGCTTTATGTCAGGTATGAAGGGTTTTTACAAGTCAGAGAATAAGAAATAAATATCGATAAAAAATATAAGTCGATCAACGAAATTTTCCCTATAGCTTATAGTTAAAAAAACAAAATTTAAGCAAAAGCTGTTAACGAAAATGCAGTTAATCAATCACATTTAAAATGCAATTATGCATGTGAAGAGCGATGTTGAAAAAACCAAGTGAAGTACAAAATTAACGATTTTTGTTGCCTTTCCAAAAATCGATCCACTTGACAAGCTTTTTTCAAATGTTTCTCTAGTTTTTTCATTCAAAAAATACCCTTAAAATATTGATAAAAATCATCAAGCTTGATTAAACGTATTTGATACGAAACGTATCTCAATGCATTCATTCATAATTGGAACAAAACGTTGTAGAAACCGGCACGGTTAATTAATAAGAACATCGTGTTTCAAACTCTTTTTTTAAATGTTACATTTTAAGTTTGTTTTTCGCAAAATCGCATTCAAACGACACGTTTATTTTCAATGTTTCAATGTTATGTTAGTATTTGGTACATCCAAAACGTTGCATAGCAGTAAATCGAAAAACACACTATTGTTACTCAATGTTGTTATGAACGGACATAATCTACATACGCTTTATACACAGAAAAATTAAGTACTTTTCCACCACACTTCGCAAAAGCCTAAAATTATCTTAAAATTAAAATAAATAAATCACAAGAGTCTGAAAAGTTAATCATAGTAAACATAGTCCTTGCTAGGATTGTTGTAATAGTGATCAAACCGATCTCTATCCAAAGGATTTCGGATTTCCAGATTGACATCATCAATGTAGTCATCAGACCTTCTGTAGCGAGGGTCGGATCGCACATATCTGGGGTCCTCATAGATAGTGATGTGATGATCCTGTGGTAGTGGTGGTGGTGGTGGAGGAAGAGGACGTCTATATGGCAATGGGGCTGGATAGTATGCAGGTCTATAAAAAACATGTTTAAATACTTAAATATTTTCCTAGAGCCATTAAGTTTTACCCATGGGCATACTGCTGTTCGGCGAATCTGGCCCCTCCTTCATAAGAATTTCCCAAGTTTCGTCTAGCCAGATTCTCCTTGCCATCGTAATAGTTGTTTCGGTTGTAGTTTCTCTGGTTTCCGTAGTCCTTTTCGTAACGGCCATTATTATCATATTGACCTCGTCGTGCTTGGTCATTGGCAAATTCCGCACTGTCGTATTTTCCTCCTCCTTGCTTGTGTTGACCGGCATCGCCATAGGTTTCTAATTCACAGAAATTTAGTTCATACATTAAAGTAGTCGAATGTTTAAAGTAGTTAAAGTGTTATATTTCAAAATGTTTTCGAAAGGTTTAGTTTATATTCGAATTATCCTTTGTAGCTCACGTATTCTTAAACGATTGAAATTCACCAGAAAAGCTCATACAACGTTTTTTAGGCTTCTATAGAATTTTTGCAGACTCCGTCCGTTTTTGGCGGTTTTAAAAATCATTTTTATTAGCAACCAGAGGGTTACCAAATAATCACCAATTGGTAAAAGTAAAATGGAACTTTTGAGCAAAAAATTTCAATGCCATTAAGGTCTTGAGAAATGTTTTCAATAATTCCTAAGAGCAATTTTTCACTGGCTGAGTTTTTTCTGTGCATAAGTTTAAAACAGGAACTTTTTATTAGATTGAAAAATAAGATGAAGTATTATTATAAATATTACTAGTTATAGTTCGAACTCTCATATTGTAGATATTTCTATAAAATTATTTAATTAATTAATTAAATTCTTAATTTGAGAATTAATAGCAATTGATTATTTAATAATTATTTACATTCTTAGTACGGTTGAATATGTAATTCAACTGTCAATTGTTTATAAATTATTCATTAATATTTTGAACCACACACGTTTCGATTCAATTTGGCTTTTTTGCTAATTAAAAATTTGACTTTAATACCAACCTCTGTAATTCTTGTGTTCAATCTGTCCCGCATCATCAGATCCATCATCAAAATAACTGGAGTTGCTCCCAGTTTCGTCCTTATGGTAGCTATTGGTGAATCCGGATTTGTGGTGTCCTTTGTGGTGAGCAACTTTGGTATCTACATTACCTCTCTGATCTCCAGCATTTTGGTGGAAGTTTTCTTTTTGGAAATTGTTTGCGTCCACGTGGGCCTTTTTATTTGCTGATTGTTCCCCAAATCTAAATAAAAATGTATTATTTTAAATACAAGCTGATTTAACGTTTTTCAGATTGATCTATGTTTGATTTTTTCTTTTTTAAAGCTTTAGGACAATTGCAGGTTTGAATCATTTCTAAAGTCTATTTCGATTTAAAAAAAATGTGTGTGTAATCAATTTTTGAATCAATGTTTCAATTTAAAGCGGACTTCATATTACAAGGCATACATTGGTTTGCCATTATTGCAGGAATAATATAAACTAGCTAATATCCGAAAACACTACAAAAATATCCCATTAATTCAAATTTGTCATTAACCGAAATTTTAAATTTCTGATATCTGCTGATCCAAAGAGTTTCCTAAATATACGGTTGTTAAAGACTCTTTAAGACATCATAAAAGGTTTTTATTTTATACAAACGCCAACAAATTGAGGGGTCATTGTTTGAAATAACAAAAAATCTTTTGTTTGTTGAAGATTTTTGAAACAAACAATTTATTTCGAAGATACAGATGAAGATCCATAACGACAAAGCAAAAACTTAATTTATTGTCAATAATTAGATAGAACTAACCATTTTGTTGTATTATCAATTTTGTTACTTCCTAATTCATTCATTTTGCCTTCATCGGCAAACACTTTCAAAATAGGTGCAAAACAGAGTTAAAAATGTGGAAGATTTAAAAAATTTTTGCTTTTAGCTTTCACCTTAAACCATTTTTTTCATTTTTGAAAGCCTTTGAACAGAAATTGGAAAAGTTAATAACGTAGCTTAAACCTTCAGTTTCCAGGCTTTTAAAAGCAGTGGTTTATTTACTTGTCACAATTTTCGATTCCGCATTAAATGCTCTTTAACACATCCAGAACACAAACAAACCATACATATATACCCATATAGTTATCAATTGCTTATAATGAAATATACATTTTATTACAGCTTAATAGAATGCAAATACTTGTTTTGCGTTTAGGTACTTTTTACGTGTGTTGGTTTTTGAATTTCATTCAATTAAACGTGCGCAAAATTGGAATTAAAATTAGTGGAAAAATCAACTTACCTTCCTGAATCTTGTGCTACAACCGACTTTTTCTCATCATCTTTATTAAATCCTTCCTCTTCTTCGAAGTTCGCGATTCCTTTTTGAAACTTAACATCTTCCACATTTTCGTTTTGCGCTTCTCCCTGATTTTTCACTACACCAGACTTAATTAAAACACCACTAGAATGAACAATAGCGAACCAGCAGATATGCAACAGCAAAAAGCGAATTGGTAACCGGCTCATCTTCGGCACTGCTACTGAAACCAAGAGGGGATCAACATTCAGCGAAGATCGATTTCGAAATACCAAAGTAAAATTTGGTTTTTCAGCTTTTATACTGGGTCATTGTAATTTCGGCCTTCTTCTAACAATTACACTTAATATCCTGTAAGGTATAAGATTTTTACGGTTTAATCAGTCATGGAGTGTCGTGCTTCGGAGAATAAAGGTCCCGAAAATTGCAAAGTAATGTTTTCATTATGAGTTTTCGGTTTTTTCCTTGATAATGGACCAGAAGCGGAGTTAGAACTTTTCGGACTTCGTAAAACTGATTTGGAACTTTGTCCTTTTATATTGATGTTTTATAAGTATTAATCATTCAGTGTAAATTTAATCTCGAGTAAAAGAGAAGTTAATACATTTATACTTATGTTTCGTGAATATGTTTTGTATGTAATTAATAATTCATTATCTTAGTCTTATTGAATAATTTTGTATATTCTTAACTTGTGCCATTCGACTAGAAAAAATTATTGTATGCACATCAGTAAGTCAAATTATATTGATCAAATTGCGGTATTATTGTAAATATTCTACATGTACTTTTAATAATAACAGTAAAGTCTGTTTAATAAAGTATATAATATTCAATAAAATCAAAAAAAAGT